ATGTTACCTCTGCCCTGACAAAATAAATTTCAGTGACTTCTTATCATTCCCAGGATCAAATATCAAACCCTCTGTATAGTATTCAAAGCCCTTTGTAACCACCACCACCACCTTTCCAGTTTTTTTACACCCTACCACATATTCAGCAATTCAGTGACAATGGCCTCTGTTTTCCCTGGAACTAAACAGTACATTTACTAACTCTGGACATTGCATTGGGTAACCCAATCTTTAAAAATCAAATCAAAACAAAACAAAATTGTATTGCTAAGACATGTTTTATAAAAAAAATTTTTTTAAATAAGAATGAAGAAAAAGATGGTTTCAAAGAAACCTAGAAAACTTGTAGGAATTAATGCAGAGAAAAGTGAGTAGAACTGGGAGAACAATTTATGCTACATCAACATTGTCAAGAAATACAATTTTGAAAGATTTCTACTCTGATTCACACAATTACCAACTGTGATTCCAGATAATGAAGAATCCTATCCACAGAAATGTGATGAACTAGTACTATGCAAGATGAGAGACATTTTTGGACATGGCCAATATGGAGATTTATTGTACTTAACTCTGCTCACTTGTTACAAGGATTTGTAACTCACTCTCTCTCTCTCTCTCATTTTGGTTGGTGGGGGTGGCAGGGAAAAGTGAGAGTGAAAAAATGTTCACCAGAAAAAGATTTTCAAAAAGTATATTAAGAATGAAGCATGTTCCCTATTCGTGGCAGAGAGGTGGTAGACTACAAGTACAAAATGAGGCATATGTTATCAGGTAGCTCTCTGTTCATTCATCTTGCCTGTCTATACTTTTTTTTTACAAAGAAAGGTTCTACAAAAGGGATCAGGATGATGGACATGTATTTTAACATTTTCTAAAAGAGAAAAAAAAGCACTGGCTGTTCCTTTATTTCTGGTAATGTATTTTGAGCTCCAGTAATAGAGTAGTATGATCATTTTTCATACAGCCATATACTTTATAGAGTGAAGCCCCAAAAACAAAAAGCCTACTCTCCAATTATCTGCCCACTCTGGACAGATTATTTGAATGAGTGGAATCCCATTTCTGACTCAAAGGTGTAACCAGGTGAAAAGGAAGACAATCATAATGAAGTCAGTTGTCTATTCAGTGACAGTCTGGTAGGAATCATCTATATATGCCCATGATACAAAAAGTGAATGGCATCCAGCATTATGAAAATTCTACTGCCCATTGCTTTAAATCCAGTCAATCAATTTACCTGCTATCTACCTGAGCTAAGATCATAGATAATAATCCTAAGAGGATTGCCTGGAACACCAACTTGCCCAAGGTTACACAGCCAGTATGTGTCAGAGGTGAGACTTAAGCCCAAGTATTCTTGACTCAAAAAGCAGCTCTCCTTCTACTACTGTTTCTCAAGCCAGGGAATATTAGGAATAAAAACTTTCACTGGAAAAAATTTTCACTGAAATACCTTTTCTTCCATTTCTTATAAGAACCCCCTATAATTCAGAGGACCTGTGTTCAAACTTCAGTTCTATTATCCACTACCTATGAGACCTTAAACAAGTCATTTCACCTCTCCTCAAGCCTCAATTTCATCTGTAAAATGAAGAAACTGGATTAGATGACTTTCTGCTCTAAATCCAAGAGCTTACAACTCTGCTTTCTACTTTAAGAGTAAGAGACTGTCCACCTTTCTTCACTTCAAAAATCGACTTCTCTTACCCCAAAGCTACACTAAACATATCACAAGATAAAAAAGAATTTTATAAACATAGATGGATTTTAACAGCACAGGTCTTTCCTCATTAAATATGGAACATTACATGTTAAGTATTCTAGATTAAAACTCTTCACAGATTCATATTCACATATATATGAAGAGGAATGTGTAGAATCATGCTCAGTAACTCACAGGATATGTCACCCATAGCCCTAGCCTGCATATAACTTTCCTCAAGTGAGTAAGCTTTACTTTTTATTTTCCAAGATGTTTGGATCAAGCAATCAAGAGGAACTTATATTTTCAAAAACTTTATTGTTGCCAGAAGTACAAGATAAAGAAAAATTTTAATTATCAAAGGGCAGTGAATTCATTAACCGTTTACTTTTGGAGGATGCTGTTTTACAAGTATTTATTCCTTTTGCCATTTAATCTGTCTCGAGTCCCAGCTGAATTATTTTCTATTTTGGTTCATTCATGCTGGCTATGTGAAAAGTGACTGGTATCCAGCATTATAAAAAGTCTATTTCTTTTTTTTTTGTTTTATTGGCGAGGCGATTGGGGTTAAGTGACTTGCCCAGAGTCACACAGCTAGTGAGTATCATGTGTCTGAGGCTGGATTTGAACTTAGGTCCTTCTGACTCTAGGGCCAATGCTCTATCTGCTGTGCCACACAGCTGCCCCTAAAAAGTCTATTTCTACTCCATTTGTTATCATTGTTTCGGTCATGTCCGATTCTTTGTGAACCCACCCTGTTATACCGAGGTAAAGTCAAACAAATGATTCCATTGCCTTGTATCCAGACAATCAATTTACCTGCTCCCTACCACAGCTAAGACAGCAGGTAATAAATATTCACAACTGCCTGAAACAAAGTTTTGCCTTATTTTCCAACCACACAATTGCTCCAGATTCTGAACACCTGGGTTCTAATCCAAACTCTGATTATTCACTACACCTATACACCTTGCATATTGTCATAAAAGCTTTTGGATTTTTTTATTAGGTCTTTATCATTTGGGGTTCAGAGCTGCCACTTCTGCTGGGAAGGTTACTAAACTGGCTAAAGCCTTTCTAGAGGTCTGTTAAAATTAGCTTAGACTCTTAGTCATTAGGTAAGGAACTAGACAGGGTAAATAGAATGTGACACTTGCCTGGATTCCTGACAACTCCCATCTAGATGACACATTTACAAATTCACTGGCTTTGACTCAGTAGATATCTTATGGCATGTAAATCTCTCCTCTCAATTAGTCCACTATAAGCTCTCCAAAGGTAGCCCTGAAGTATAAATCTCACAAGTCTTGCTTCGAAACCTAATTACCTTAAATTTATCTCCGTAAAACTTTGTTTTTCTTCCCTTGGGTAATGTGTGAGATTCTGTCTCTCCATTCCTTTTCCCCTCTGATATAAATGAAAACTATATAAGCCTCCTGAAAACTCTCACTATTTTTTCTGAGCTCTGAACCTATGTTTAAGCACAAAAAAGCCTCGGTTTTAATCTCTAGGATCTCTGTGTGGGGATTGTGTCATTTGGCAGCAATTCCCTCTCAGAAGAACTCAGTGGAAATATTTTCCCCATATTAACATGTAAGTTATTTCCCATTTTGAGGGTCTGTTTCCTTATCTTTGAAGCTGAAGTGACCATGGTCAATACAATGACCACTCATGAATCCAGAGGACTGAGGATGAAACACGCTCTCTGCTACAGAGAAGTTTTGGATTTAGAGTACAAAATTAAGGACATATATATTTGTACATAGATATTGAGGGAATTTATTTTCCTTGACTATACATCTCTGTTGCAAGAAATTTGTTTTTCTTTTCTATTCTTTTCTTCAATGAGGTGGTTGAGATAAAGGGGAGGCTGCAACAGCAATGAAATGTAAGCATTTTCAGATGAGCACACTGTATTACTAATTTTACTTAGAGACCTCTCATGAAGTTGGAGTAATCTGTAAATGTTTGGAATGTAAAAACAAAACAAAAAAACTTTTTAAAAAATGAAGTGTGGACCAGATTAGAAAATATCTAACGGCTTTTCCAACTCTAACACTACTGTATTCAGAAAGCTTAGTTTTTAAAAAGCATTTTATTATTGTTACCCATAAGGGCTGAGGTAAGCAAATCCAAGACACATGGTGAGCTATTTAAAGTAATTTTTGAAATGCAAATGAAGTAATTATGGAAAGCTATAATTTAAATTACCAATCACTTCACAGCCTCTAAAATCCAAAAGATCAAACCTAGAAGAGATTACATTTTCTCCTTTTTTTGAGATCTAATCTTGGAAAAAAAGTTCCATCATTAGGAAAATGCTTTAGAATAAGGGGCAAGGTTCATGAACTTTCGCAACAATTTAAACATTTCTAGATGGCTAACGAGGTTTAGAGTTCCATCTTTAGGAGAACAATGCCAATTTTTAATCTAAGGATAAATACTTTCATTCTCCTGAGTTAAAATATGTGACAAATAGAAAGAATTGTTTTTGTTGAAAAAGCAGTACAAGCCAGTATCTTCTACTACAAGAATCATGCTTCAAGAGCTTGCTGCACCTGGGTTGGAAGCTGCACAAGTCACATACTCCATCAGATAAGCCTCCTTCTGGACCCAAAGGCCTCTCCTACTTTGGTCATACTATGGCTAGGTAATGAAAGTTCATCAGGAATCCAGTCTTCCAGACTTTCAGCTGCTTAAACCTTGGCTCCTTTCATTTTCAGAAGATGGTGAAGTAGGTGTTTCATTGAACCTGAGGCGTTTTGATTCTGGAGAATTGCAAAGAGTGTCTTCAGGTATCTCTACAACATTGAGAAGCATAAGTATGTGGTTATGAAAAGTCCAACAGAATGTAAGCTCTTTGAGGAGTTAAGACTAATTTTTGTACGATGCTTTGCATGTTGTAAGGTGCTTGATAAATTATCTGTTGAGTAGAAACCAAGGACTTCTTAAAGTCAGATGTAACTTACTTTAACAAAAACAAATTCAATATCAGTAAGAGGATGAATTGTGCGGAGGAATCTCAACTAGATAAAAGAGGCAAATATAGGTACGGTCTTGACAAATATGGACTCTACCATCTAATTGCCCTGGGGAACAGGGAAGGCAGGTCAGCTTCTGTGATAATTCCATCCATAATCTCTGATGAGTTATTTATAGGAAACTAGTAAGTATCAATATGCATGACAGTTTTAGGAAGTTATACCTTTCATCACTAGAAGATAATATGATAAAACTAATAAGAGATATGAACTTTCAGCCCAATGGTTTAGTTAAACAATTAAAATTTACTCACCTGGCTGACATATTTCTACAGATGGGCTAGAAGCAGAGTTGACTTGTGGGGTGCATGTCTGAGCATCTGTCTTTAAGGCCATTAAGTTTATTCTCCTAGATTAAAAAAAAATAAAATGATAGGGCACATGGTTGAATAATGGATAGGCATTCATTCTATTTTTGTCTGGTAACCAAATTAACTTTTTTTGCATTTTTTAGGAAACAGCACAGCTATTTAGTAATTTTCAAAAGTAGATAATGCTTGAACTTTCAGCTGAAAATTATGCAAGTATTCTTAAAATGAAATAAAGAGTTTTGGGAAAAGAGCACAGCCTGGAACAGAAGTTTACTAGTGATGGATAATTCAATTGTACAGAAATCTGCTGGACCTGTCTATAATAAAAGCTTATAAATTCCTAGCTTGCCCTAATAATTTCATTCTTCATAAAATGGAGAGAGAATGATCCCTGATCCTGACAAAGTAGTACAAAATATGGGGAAATTTGGGAATCTGTGACTACACCACCTTAGAATTTGTGATAGTAGGAACACAAATCCTAGGTTTTTAAAGATTTTAAAGGATTCAGAGAAAAGCTAAGAAGATTCCCATTACTTAAAATTCTAGAGGGAAAATCTGCCCAAGCAGACCAGAAGTTATCAAGCAGGAAATCATGAATATGGAAGAAAACACAATTCAAATGATGAAGAAATAATAGCGTTAGGAATTCTAAAACTCAAAATGAGCTGAAGTTGGTGACAAATATCAACAAAAAGGGGTGGTGACTTAAACTTACTGAGAACAGGTATGTGTTTTTCTTAATCCTCACTTACATTTCAATATTTTTTCCTTATGTCCTTTCCTACAACAGCTAGCACAAACATATCACTTTAAGGTTTGTCAAGTGATTTACATATATTATCTCATTTGAACTTCACAATAAGCCTATGAAGTTGGCTTTATTGTTATCCCATTTTATAGATGAAGAAAGTAAGATAAGTACAATTAAGTGATTTGCCTAACTTCATGCAGCTATTAGTGTTTGGAGCAGGATTAAAACTTAGAACTTACTGATGCCAAGTCTAGAACTCTATCTACTATGCCATCTGGCTGCTGTCTCCAAATATCATTGTCTTTGGCAGAGAAAACAGAAGCAAAGTATGAATTATATAGTTCTGCCTTCAGCAACTCACTTAACACAAGTAGTGATTTATTCCTTTAGAAAAAAAAAAACCAGTACTAAATGTCAACTTGAAGAGAGGGCTCTAGGGGAATGTCCCAGGGATGTGTTCTTGGCCCTTTGTTCAATATTGACTTGAACCAAGGTATAAATGGCATGCTCATCAAATTTGAAACTGCCACAAATCTGGGAGAGACATAGTCATATGATAGATAATCAAGAAGGTCCCACAATGATCTCAATAGGCTAGAAGAACAGGCAGACAACAGTTTGTATAAAAAAGGACCTGGGGGTTTAGTGAAATGCAAGCTTACTACAAATCAACGATGTGACATGACAATAAAGAAAGCTATTGCAATCTTAGGCTTCATTAAGAGAGGTACAATATGGGGAACACAAGAGGGCGCTATAGTCTTGCTATATGAGAACTCAAATTCAATTAAATTCAATTAAGTGGTTCTCCTGCCTACAGCACAAACAACAGCCAGGCACTTTGGCTAAAAAGGCTATAACGCTAAAGCAATAGAAAGCAACTGGTACACAGGACTAGTTGTTATAGATAAATTGTTATAACTAGATCACAAAGCACTGCTATCTACTGAAACATAGAAGCATCATTATAGAAACTTATTTTTTTTAAGCAGTATTTGTTGTTATTTTGTGCTAGCAAGTGTCTTCTTCTCCTCACCCTAATGTTTTATAATCACAGTTTGCTATATTGGCTAAAGTTTTCCTTACCGGGGAGCTGTCTTACTCCAAGCTTGTAAGGTATTCAAAGTAATCCTCCGGGGCTGGCTTGACTTTATGTTCTGACTACAAGCCTGCAGAGTTTTCTTCTCTTCTGAGGATGGATTCAGGGAGCTTCTATTTCCAAGAGGACTCATGGGCAGGTCCTTGTTCACTGTCAGGGCTGGAGACTGCCTATTCTGAAGGGGTGTCATAGAACTGTTTGGATCTTGGTTTCTACTGGTAGGGGTTCCTTCCACTGGCCTAGGGCTTGGGGAAGTCACTCGGTGTGTCTGATTCTTGGCTTTCTTCTCTGCTGTATTAGGAGTTCTCACATTTAACACAGGTTTCTCCTTTAAAGGCACTCCAAGTTCATCTTTCTCAAATGTCACAAAGGAACAATACCCATCTGTAGAAGAAATGGCCAGGAAAGCCCCATCACTGGACCTTTTTTTCCAAAGAAGGGAAGAAAATGAAAGAAATGTTATATGGAGCTGGTTGCTCTACTTGTTGAGAAAAGGTGAAAATAAAACTAAAAACCAAGATTCTACCAAGTATATTTACCAAGAGTAAATCTGTACCCTACAAAGCTTGCCTTATGTTATCAGATTTCACCTAGATAAGTACAGATAACTTGGAAAATCATGGTTAAATCTTGAAAACAGGATCTAAGTGTGTTTTCCATTTTTATTTTAAAGGATCCAGTTAATCTAGGTTAAACTTTGGATGAAAAAAGGGCTAGTCTTTCACTAAGTTTCAATCCTGTATCACCCTGGACAATTCATTTAACTTCTATATGGCAAAGTTTCTTCATCAGTAAAGATGGAGATAAGGTTTGCTTGTACTACCTAACTCACGGGGCTGCTGTGAAGAAAATACTTTGCAAATCTCAAAGTGTTAGTATGATAAGTTATTATTTGTACTTTGATTTTATCTAGACTTATCTGTTCACTTTCTACTACTGTAATAGGACTCAAACTGTACCAAACTATATAGTAACTTCCTATTAAAATTTAGACCCTTAAAAAAAATCAGCACAAGCAGGGGAAAAAAGACATTCTTGTCCCTAAGGACTTCTCTTTGTACAAATAATAACAACGATAATAATAAACACTTATATAACACTTTAAAGTTTATAAAACATGTTACATATATTACCTCACTTGATCTTATGATATAGCATGTCCCAAAAGCTTTAGTAGAATTTAAATTCACTAGCTTAAATTTACTAGCTTATATACATATAATACAAAATACAATATATCATACATTATAACATAACAATAATACATAATGATATACACAATAAATATGATATAATAAATAATAGAATACCTATAATAATATTAAATATTAATCACTTGAGTAGCCTTAATGGCTTAAAGATGCACCAAGACTTTTGGGACACACTGTATGTTGACTACTACTTGTCAACCTTCATCACTGATCAAAGGTGACAACAAAGATCAGGTAGCTTGGTGTTTTCACCAAACTTATGCTACTGCTTTAGCAAGAAGTATGACTTATCTCTACTGGGTCTCTTTAATCTAATCCACCAACTTCTAGAAATGGATGTGACAGATGTCTTGGGTGACCTCAGAGTAGTGGGAAATAGGATAAAAAATTTTGATAAAAACTAAGATATGTCTCCACTCAACACCGTATCTCAAGGAGAAGAAGGTACAGAGACAAAACCTAAGAGTTGAAAGTTCCCCTCCCTCCGCTAACTCACCATGAAATATCACTCAGTGTATGATAATGGATGTTGGACACATAACCAAAAGGAAAGGCTTGCTGGGTGTCATAGAAAAGCACAGAATCTTCAGATGCCACAGCAAACACCAACCGGTAGGGTAAGCTAATCAGTTCCAGTCCTGACTCCTGTGAAGCTTTATCTAAAGTAGAAAAAGCCATAAGGAAAGGAAAATTAAAAGAAAAAAAAAACTTCAAAGGAAATGATAGGCAAGCTGCCAAAACAGAAACCTCAGCCCAGGAGTTTCATCAAGCATAAGTTAACTGAAAATCAGTTTTGAGCATTTTAATTACTAATATAGGTATTCATGCATTTTTGATCCTAGACAAGTAAGAAAATAATGGGAAGAAATTGTAATAACTTGGATAGAGCTTCCTTGAAGCAGAAAAATGAGATTAAGGATCAATCAATCAATAAGAAAATGCTTAAGCACTTACTGTATGCCAGGTACTTTGTTACGGACTGAGAGTACAAATTAAAAAATGGAGCAATTCCTTCCCTCAAAAAGCTTACATTCTGGGTGACATTTTAGTACTCAGATGAATTATTTAACATTTATTCTTGTCTGTTTTGAAGGCTGATGAAAAATAACCCAAGTGATATTTCTGCAACTTAGGAAAGCTGAAAGGAAACACTAATGAATCACACAGACAAAAAGTTATCCCTGTCACACATGAAATACCAAAGTAACTAAAAAGACATCCTCTAGTACTCGGTCTCTAGAGTCCCATTATCAAATGTTTAGGAAGGTGAACTGCAAACTAACTTGTACATTGCCTATGAAACAGGTTCTTAGAACTTAGAAATCATTCAGTCCTGGCCTCCAGCCACGACTGTGAATAAGTCAATCCCAGAAACTCATCTTTCCTAATAACAAAGAGACCATAGTCTCTTATTGTGATATGCCTCAGAGACTTATTTCAACTACTTCTGTTACACTACTTGTATTACCTACTGGCCTCAATTCAAAGTAGACTGGACAGCAGCGGACAGCAAGTGTTGCTTTTCCAGGGCAGGGGAGATGAGCAATAGGCCTAAAGGAACCACCACAATTTTAGAAAAAAGCAACAATAACTGCATGAAAAGATTTTAAAATGTTTGTCTACAAGCCATACCTTTTAAGATTCTTTCTGGAGAAAACATAAGTTGTATTTGTTACATTTTCACCAGATTCAACACAACCTGCTAAATTTGTAGGGACAGAAGAAGAAAAGATTATAGGGGGAAAAATCGACATTATTAAACTACTTCAGAACAATAGCATTTACCTTTGTTTTGTTTATTTTTTAAAAAAAAAAGCTCTTCCTCTAAAGAGAATTTATGCTCTTGTACAAGATTCTTATGCCTGAGACTCTATCTATGACTGCGGGTATATGTACAACTACTTTATTCCTTTTCCTTTTCCTTTATTCTCTAACTTCAGCTAAGTATTCTTATTGCCTGATTCTTTGGGCTCAGACTCATCTAAGCACTCTTTTTTTGGGGGGGGGTGTTAGGCAATGAGGTTAAGTGACTTGCCCAGGTCTCACAGCTTGTAAGTGTTTGAACTCAGGTCCTCCTGAATCCAAGGCTGGAGCTCTATCCACTGTGCCACCTAGCTGCCCCTCATCTACTCACTCTTGAGGAGACCAATTCTGGTACCAGGCAGGTTACATATAGAGAAACCACTTCCTCAAAAAGGCTTTCACACTAATTTTGCTCCATGTGCCCTTTTACTCAGACCCTTTGCCTAGATCCAGACCTCTTACTGATCAGTCCTCTTCTCCTGAACACTCTCTCCTCTTTAGGTTTTTGTGACACTTTTTTCTGCTTCTACTCCTACCAGTCTGACTCCTTCCTTCTCAGTTTTATTTGCTGTATCTTTATCTAAGTCATGCCTGCTAACTGTAGGTGTCCTCTAACCCTCTGCCCCTGGCCCTCTTCTCTTCTCTCTCTAAATTTCTTGGTGTGGTGATCTCATCAGCTCCCATGGATTCAACTACTGTCTCTATGCGGGTGAATTTCAGATCTATTTATCCAGTCCCAACTTCCAGTCTCACATCTCTTAACTGCTTACGAGGACATCTCAAATTGGGTACTCTGGAGACATCGAAAACTCAACATGTCCAAAACTGAACACGTTATCTTCACTCCCAAATCCTCCCTTCTGCTGAACTTCACTATTTTGGTATTATACTTGACTCCTGACTTTCACTCATTCCACAGTTCAATCTATTGCCAAGTTCTGTTGTTTTTATCTTCTCTGCAGTAGGTCTAGTAAATGTTCCATTCTCTCTTCTATGCCATAGCTACCAGCTGGTACAGGCTCTGATTACCTTATACATGGACTATTTTAACAGCCCTCTTCTGGTTAATCTTTTTGCTTCAAGTCTCTCATTATTTCAGTCTACCCAGTACTTAGCTGTCAAACTGATCTTCCTAAAATACAAGTGGGACCATATCATCCCTACTATTTAACAAACTCTAAGGCCTCCCCATTACCTCCAGAATTGAATATAAAATCCTGTTTGGCTTTTAAAGCCTTTTATAACCCAACTGCCTCCTATTTTTCTAGTCATTTTACACATTACTTACTTCCATAGACTCTGATCCAGTGATATTGGCCTTGCTGTTCCTCACACGAGAGACTTATCTCCCAACAGTATTTTCATTGTCTCCACATTTTGCCTGGAATGCTTCCCTTCTTATCTCGGGTATCTAGCATCCCTGTCGAGACTGAGCTTAAACCCTACCCTCTATAAAGGTGATACTTATCGCCTCCCTATCCAGTATCTTTCCTCTGAGAACATCTCCAATTTATCTTTATATGTACATAGTTGTTTACCTATTATCCCACCCTTTACCACCCATTAGAATGTGAGATCAGTGGGGCAGCTAGGTGGCACAGTGGATAGAGCACTGGCCCTGAAGTCAGGACGACCTGAGTTCAGATCCGACCTCAGACCAAACACTTGACACTAGCTGTGTGACCCTGGACAAGTCACTTAACCCCAATTGCCCTAAAAAAAAAAGTCTAGAATGTGAGATCAGTGAAAGCAGGCAATGTTTTTGCCTTTCTTTGTATCCCTAGCACTTAGCATAGTGCCTGCCTGGCATATAAGTATTTAAATGTTTCTTAACTTGTCTTACATGGGGTTCAGACCCTTTGGCTCTCTCCTCTTAGCTTGTGGTGTGCTGGAAAGAACACTAGACTGGGATTCAGAAAAATTGGATTCAGGACAAGTTCTGCCACCAAAATCTCATGTGGTTCTACCACTTACCCTTCTAGATGTCATCTGTAAAAGGTGGATGTTGGACGAGATGTTCCTCCCAGCTCTAACCTTCTGGGAGTCCACCCTGATTCTATGATCCCCTGAACTCTGAACTTTGTGTGCACAAACCTGTGGCACCTGCCTGCTCCACCCTCCTACAATCATCAGAAACTGCCTTGCTCTGGGAAACACAATATGCCTATCAGCTCTTATGTACTCCACTGAGAGAAGTATCTGAAACCAGGCTCGAAGACAAGAAGCCCTTGTCCAAAAATTATATATAGTTATAATTATACCCTAGCTGCTCTGGTATGTGGATTCATGCTATTCCAGTGTTCCTGCCCATCCTGGCCTGCAGACATTTGACATCCTTATATGCCTTACCTAACTTCAAGCCGTAGCACAGGACCACAGCCCAGATATATATTTGTACCTCTCAAAAGAATAGTGAAACAATGCCTTGCATACAATAGAAATTCAACAAATATTTGTCTTTTCTTTCTTTCTTTTTTTTCCACTGGACCTGTGATGTCATCAGTGTAGGGAGCTCCAAGTGAAAAACTTACTAGCCCAATACAGACTGGCCCATCCTCTTCAAATTATAATATTTGGAAGAGCACTGAGAAATTAAATAACTTGCCCAGGATCATATAACAAGTGAATATTAGAGGTGGGACTTAAAAGCAGATCTTCTTGACACTGAACCTAGCTCTCTAACCACTATGCTACGCTGTCTCCTGTTGTTCTCAACCTTAAGTGATGTCTCTGGACTCAATAACTGTCCAGTTTGAATTTTATGACTTACAGTGTTTGACATTCCCTTATATAATGTAACTTCCAGGGCTAGACTTCCGTACCTCTTACCACACCAATTCTGGAGTAAAGGGTGTGTGTGTGTGTGTGTGTGTGTGTGTGTGTGTGTGTGTGTGTGTTATATAATGAGGACTATAATGACTATGATGACCATAACCACACTGTCTCATAGCTTTAGTTTTGAAAATGTAATCTGTATATACCCTATTAGTCCAAACATGAGTCACACTCCTAAAACAGGATGTCTTAAGTACCACTTCCGGTGTGAGTGCAAAAGGGCTAATAGATAAATTATTATTCTTTCTTTCATTACCTGGTGTGAGAAGCAAAGATCCATCAGGAGTAAAACTAAGTCTACGAAAGAATGACTTCATGCTATCATCATGAAACATTCGGTAACTTCTTGCCTATAACACAAAGAGATTTCAAAATAGCACTATAAATCTTAATTACATAAATACATTTAGACTTGAAGGATAAAACAATGTACACTGACCTACTCCTATTTTGATTATATAATCTTTCCTTACAGATATCTGTGTTCTTCCTTGTGAGTTTTTGTAGAAGCTAGTGCATTCTACAAATCAAACTCAATTTAATAAACATTTATTAAGTACTCATTGGATGCAGAGGTCCAGGTAAATTTAAGTTTGGTCTTTCATACCATTCAACTCACACTTATACACTGACAAAGTGCTTCTCTCACAGGAACCATGTAAGGAAGGAAGTATAATTATTTTTTTTTTCCATTTCTCCATGATAAAACTTACACTCTTTCAGGCTAAGTGACTTTTCCATTGTCTAACAGCTTAGTAATTGTCAATGATCAGACATGAATGTATTTTCTAACTCCAGTTCTTACCACTATAGCACATTTCCTCTATCTGTACCAAAACAAATACATAATATTTTTGATGATGATGTGTATGGTTAGGAGCTCTTTAAAAGAGAATTACAACATTTTCCAATTGACAAATGGTAAAAGAAACAGGTAATTTTCAAAAGAAGAAATCCAGACTGTCAACAGTGCCAAGGGGAAAAAAAACTCCAAATCACTAATACTTATGAGAAATTAAAATTAAAATAACTCAGGTTCTACATTACACCATCAGAATGGCAAAACAGACAAAAGAGGAAAAAGTCAAATAGAGGAGCTTTGAGAAAACACACATTAATGTATCACTGATGGAGGTACATTAATACAGCCACTCTATAAATCGTTTTTGGAACTGCGCCTAGAAAGTCATTCAACTATGCATATCTTTTGACCAAGAACACTACTGCACTGTTGGCAGAGATGTGAACTGGTTGAGGCATTCTGGAAAACAATTTAGAATTATGTCCCCAAACTTACTAAATTATGAATACACTTTGATGTAGTGATACCAGCACTAGCTTTATACTCCTAAAAAGGTTAAAGAAAGAAGAGGTCCTATATGTATCAAAATATTCATAACAGCTATTTTTATAATTTATAATAATAATTTATAAAAATATAATAAAATTATAATTTTCATAATGGAAAGTAAGGAGGATACCCATCAATTGGGAAATGGATGAACAAACTACAGTATGTGAATATAGTGGAATACTATTGTGCTGTGAGAAGAGAGTTTCTGAGAAACCTGGGAAGATTTATATGAACTGATACAGTGATATGAACAGAATCAGAACAACAATTTAAAAAGAGTTAAGAACTGATAGGTGTACTAATCAACCATGATTCTAGAGGACTGATGAGAAAGAATGCCACCCATCTCCTGGTGGAGAGGTAATGCACTAAAAATGCAGAAGAAGAAACACACTTTTGGACACAGCCAATACGGGAATGAAGTAAACCAGCTCAATTAATTGAGCACCTACTCTATGCCAGGGACTGTGCTAAACCCTGAGGATAACTTTGCCCTCAAAAAAGCTTATCATCTAATGGAGGAGACAACATACAAGCAACTATGTCCTAACAATAAACATAAAGGATAAATTGGAGACAATCACAGAGGAAAGACGCTGGCATTAAGGGGAACCAGGAAAGGTTTCATTCAGAAGGTAGGATGTTAGCCGAGATTCGAAGGAAACTAGGAAAGTTAGGAGGCAGAAATGAGGAAGGAGAGAGATCCAGGCATGAGGGACAGCCAATAAAAATGCCCACAGCTGGGAGACAGAGTGCCATATGTAAGGAAAAGCGAGGAGGCCAATGCCAATGGATCAGATCTGTGGAGGGGAGAAAGGTATAAGAAGGCTGGAAAAGAGTAGGAGGGGGTTACGTTGTGAAAAGTTTTAAAAGCCAAACATAGGATTTTTAAAATTTCCCTGTGGAGATAATAAGGAGCCATTATAGTTTACTGAAGGAGGAGAAGGATGTAGGGTGGGATATATATGACATGATTAGACCCTGTGCTGTAGGAAGATCAATTTGATAGCTGATAGGAGGACAGACTAAATTGGAGAGAGGCTTAAGGGAAGGAGAACAACCAAAAGGCTATTTTGGAGTCTAGGTGTAACGTGAGGGCCTATACCAGCAAGGTGGCAATATCAGAAGAGAGAAAAGGGTGCATCTGAGAAGTGCTGTCAATGAAAAATCAATAGAATGTGAGAGAGAATGAAGAGGGCAAGGATGACACCTAGGTTTAGTGCCTAGGAGGACAATGGTGTCCAGGACAATAATAGTGAATTTAGGAAGAAGGGAAGATTTGGGGATAAAAAGACTGAGTCCAGTTTTGGATATGTTGAGTTACCATGTGATTTTCCTAAACCACAAGTCCAACCATTCTACCTCCATACTCAATAAACTCCCGTGACTCCCTATCACTTCCAGGATCAAATGCAAAATATTCCGCACGGTGTACAAAGCCCTTCATTACCTACCACTCCCCTACCTTTCCAATCTTCTTACATCTTACTCCCTGCCACGTAGTCTTCGACCCAGGGACACTGGCCTCCTGGTCGTTCCATGAACAAGACTCGGGTCTGGGCATTTTCTCTGTCTGTCCCCTTTTCCTGGAATGGTCTCCCTCCTCATCTCCAACTCCCGGCTTTTCTGGCTTCCTTCAGTCTCAACTAAAATCTTATCTTCTATAGGAAGCTTTTCCCAATCCCTCTTAATTCTAATGCCTTCTCTCTTTTAATTATTTTCTATTTATCCTATATATATAGCTTGTTTATACATATTTGTTTACTTGTCATCTTCCACCTTAGATTGTGAACTCCTTAAGGCAAGGGATGTCTTTTGCCTCTTTTTGTATCTATGTGCCTGGCACACAGAAGGCATTTAATAAATGTTTACTGGTTGACTGACTGTGGAACATCCAGTTCGAGATCTCCAACAGGTAGTTGGAGATGCAAGACTAGCTGTCAGGAGAGAGGTTAGGGTTGAATAAACAGATCTGAGGACCATTTGCATAGAAATGATAATAGAACACATGGGTACTGATGAGATCACCAAGCAGAACTGTATAGAGGGAAAAGAGAAGAGGGCCCAGGACAGCCTAGGGAGAGAACAACAGTTAAAAGGAATGGCCTGGATTAAAGACACAGGGAAGGAAACTGAGGAGTGATGAGACAGGTCAGAAAAGAGTATCAGGGAGAAAAGAGTGATTAACAGTGTCAAAGGCTGAAGAAAGCTCAAGAAGGATAAGGATTCAGAAAAGCCATTAGCCTTGGCCATTAAGAGAGGACTGGAAACTCTGGAGAGAGCAGTGTCAGCTGAATGCGGTCAGACGCCAGACTGTAGAAAGTTAAGAAAAGGGTGAGAAGAAACAAAGGGGACCTTATTATTGACAGCCTTCTAAGGAGTTTAACAACAAAAGGGAAGAAACAGAGGACAATTGCTAGTGGGGATGAACAGATCAAGTGTTCTTTTTTTTTTTTGAAGATCACAGAAAGATGGGCATGTTTGTAGGCTACAAGGAAACAATCAATAGATAGGGAAAGACTGAAAATTAGTGACAGAGTGGGGATAAGAGAGGGGGCAATCTCTTGGAATCAGGAAGACTCATTTGAGTTCAAATCCAGCTTTAGACACTTACTAGCTGTGTGACCTTGGGCAAATCACTTAACCCTGTTTGCCTCAGTTCTTAATCTGTAAAAGGAACTGGAGAAGGAAATGGCAAACCACTCCAGAAAAACCCCACATGGGGGCACAAAGAGTCAGACACAACTGAACAATAACAATAATCTCATAAAGAAGAAGGGATAGAATGGGAATTTGTTTTATTTGACTGTGCATGTCTGCTATAAGTGTTTGTTTTTCTTTTTGTTCTGCAGGGGGTTAGGAAGGAAATTAATGCTCAATAATTTTTAAAAAATAACTTAAAAAAAAAAGGCAGTGTGGCATAGTGTTGGCCTAAAAGATAAAAGACCTGAATTCAAGTGCTACTTGTGACAGAGACTAGCTATACGAATTTGGGCAAATAACCCATCTCTCAGGAAACTCAGAAAATTCTAAGACTGTCATTTGTAAAGAAGGTGCTGATCCACATGGATAGAGGAAGCATCTCAGCAGGAACTGCCTACATTGATGAAAACATAGGTCCAGTCAAAATAGACAAACAAAATTCTAGTATTTTTTAAATTTTGAAAAATGTTTCAACATTGGCCCTTCCTTCACAATGAATGGTGGTTTTAAAGGCTTGAGGATGTTTGCTGAATTGAACTGATGTCTTAAAACCCAGCCAATGACTCATCCTCTTGAAGGCACAGATTTCAGGAACTTTTGGGGGTCCTTAGTCCTTGTTATTATTTTTAGTAAATGGGTTGCTCTAAGGGAATGCTAGCAGGATCACTGAAAGGAGAAAAATTAAGTTGCAAACCTTTTCTAATTTAGATAAGGGCTACAATAGTGTTGGACCAAGGTGTTAAATTTGAGTTAAATAACATTTCAATAGCAGCGAGGTTTTCAGTGCTGAGAGATGCTTTGGGAAAGTATAAACTCCCATCAATTCTAAGGGCCTCTTCTCTGTAGGCAAACCTCCACCCCCCCCCAAAAAAACCCCAAAAAATGGGATGACAAAGCATGAGGATAAAGATAAAAGTCACTGGTACTTAAAAAATTGCTAACACGTTCCCTTTTTATGGCAGGGTGAATCATTTAGTTTTACCTTAGTAGACATTCATGGAGCAGACAATAGTTAAGAAAAGTAAGGAACAGTATATCCTGAGGGCAACCGAAGTTACTACCTTTGTAACTTCATCTGGGAGTTAGATAGCAGAGTCCATACTCTACTTTTCTCTCCAGGAGCCACCTAGGCTATAATAATGAGCCATAAGATTCACAAAAATTTCCCTGTGTTGAATGGTGTGATACAATAAAAAGAATGCTGGATAAAAAGTCAAAACCCATCAGTTTTTGTCCTTATCTGCTGGTACCTATGCAAGTTTCCATAAAAGAGGTATAAAAAAGCTGCAAAAAAAAAAGGTGGGGGGGAGAATTGTGCTACATGGCCTCTAAATCTTATCAACAGTCTCTTCTAATTCTAGGATCTTAAGAGCAGAAGCTTGGCTATGCTTATGTTGTAAAAGTTTTTCCTTTAATCTGGCCAAAAATCAGAGACAAAATATTATTAGAACTCAGATGTCATATTTCTGAATCTAATGCAATCCAGAAGGAAAACTTCCTAGAGCTACCTATAAGTTCCAGAACATAACTTACATAAAATGCCAAAATGGAAATTAAAAAGATAATTACCTCGCCTTCAGCTCCCACCCCAGACAGCATCTTTGTAACATTGAAGGCAACACGCTTCTTCTGTGTGCTGTAGACCCGCAACACCCTAAACGAGAGACGGTATCAGCTTTGCTTATTCTTGCAAATGAACCATGTCATACTTCAATTAAAAAAAATGTAAAAGCATTAAGAAGGAAGAGTTAGAGTCTAGCTTTTCCTGACAAAGATCTTGAAAAAGATCTTGCAAATATACCAGACTGAATTCTGATCAGGAAAGTCAAAAAGAAGTCACAGCGAGTCATTTTTCCAGCCCAGGGAGGCTTAGCGAAATTAACAGAGAGGTCTGTGAACTTTAGGTAGAAGGTCTGGCCCGGAGGATGTGGCTGTGGCAGCAGCAGCAGCAGGCCCATTCAAACACCCAGAGAAGGAAGAGACAGGGCCCCAGAAAGAGATCCTAGGGGATCCCTGAGCAAGCACTGGGTACAGGAGTGGTGCCATTTGGCAGCCCTGTCACCACCACCCAGTGCTCGGTCACAGATCCAGGCAAAAAAGGAGTAGTTAAGAGTGTCAGTGCTAGCTGTGTGGCTCTGGTCCCAGGAGCAGAGCACAGCATCTCAGACCAAAGGGGAGCTGGCAGCTCAGTCACTATGAACCTACAGAGCCCAACTCCAAACCAGAAACAAACCAAAAGACCCAAACCTGAGTAAGGAACTTGAAGAACTCAAACCAGGAGGATGGTGAAACTTCCCCTGGACCAAATCATTTGGGGAGCACTGAAAGTTTGCAGACTCCCAGTCTGAATGATAAGAACAGTAGAAAGACAGAAGGACAAAAAGGTCAAGCCTAACCTTACCCTCTCCACCAAGAAGTGTGAAGAACTAGCACTAGCATAAAGTCCAAAGTCAAGAAGTAGTCTGGAAAAATGAACAACAACCATAGAAGGATAGAATAACTTGAAAACATCTACAAGTGAAGCCCTGGAGAAAATGCAGCCTGAACAAAGGTCCAACAAGAATCACCAGAAGAGTTAAAACAAGATTTGGAGCAGCTAAAAAATGATCTTTAAAAACCAACTGAAAGAAGTAGGAGAGGGGCAGCTAGGTGACGCAGTGGATAGAGCACCGGCCCTGAAGTCAGGAGTACCTGAGTTCAAATCCAGCCTCAGACCAAAACACTTGACACTTACTAGCTGTGTGACCCTAGGCAAGTCACTTAACCCCAATTGCCTAAAAAACAAAAACAAAGAAAAAAGAAGTAGGAGAAAGAGTGGGGAAAAGGTAAGAGCTAGGGGAAAAGATATAAAGAGAAAATTAACAGTTTGGAAAAAGAGGCAAAAATCTTACTGAAGAAAATAACTCCTTGAAAATTAGAACTGGCCAAATAGAAGTTAAGGATCCCATGAGACCTCAAGAAATAATAAAAGTCAAAAGGCTGAAAAAATAGCAGAAAATGTGAAATTATCTCATAGGAAAAACAATTTGTCTGTTACTGTTTATAACAGTTAAATTTTGTTAAAAGTTTCAATGTGCTAAAGAACTGTGGGCTATGTACTCTCTTTGAAAACGCCTCCTTGTTGTCTCTCTACCATTCAGACTCAGTTATGTGGTTTTTCTTCCTCAGTAATCTTTGTATCTTGCACTTTTCATAAGAGAAGGAAATCTGTGAAGCAGCTGCTGCAGCTACAACTGTGGTTAATGTGTGAGATACTAATCTCTTTTGCATAGAAACAGCAACTTTGGACCATCCAAATATTACTAATTACATCTGAAGCAGTGGAAGAGTATTGGGGAAGGAGCATAAATCCATAAATCCAATCACCAAACTCATCTTTAAAAAAAAAAAATCTCATTCTCTCCTTTGCTTACCTCCCCTGAAGAATAGCTAAGAGGGAATTCATCTTTATGAGGCTGAGTATAGAGAACTCCAGTTTACCCATTAAAAAATGGACAAGGGGCAATCCCCATCTGAAGTTTGGATTCGATCAGTTTTGTAAGAGCACATCATATGTAACCTCTCCAAGTAAATGGAACTCTTTACAATTTGACAGATAATACAAATTGCCTCCATTAGAACATATGCTCATTAGCAATTATCCTAACAATTCATTGCTGGTAGATAACAGCATTGGGCCTAGATTCAGGCAGGCCTGAGCTCAAATCCAGCCTCACACACCTACTAGCTATGTAAACCTGGGCAAGTCAAATAACCTGTTTGGCTCAGTTTCTTCAACTGTAAAATGGTGACAATAACACCACAAGGTTATTGTGAAGACCAAAGGAGATAATATTTGTAAAGCTCTTAGCATAGTGCCTGGCACACAGTAGGTGCTTAAGAAACGCTTGTCTCTTTCTTTCCTGCACACCCAAGTTCCTAAGTATTAAAATCCTCCTACCCTCTGACTCCATCAGTAGACAAAGTCACTTCCCAAGAGCTAGTGGTCGTGGCCAGTAGGGACAAGAGGAGGAAGAGGGCTGAGGAGCAGAGAGGAGAAAAGAGGAATAGCAAAAGGGCAAGCCCTAAGTGAGGCTTTCTTACAACATGCTCCAGTTCATCCTCATAATCACCTCTGATATGGTTTTCCCTCATTATAGCTTTTATAGGTAAGGCTTAACATATTCTCTGGACAAACCTCTAGGTCAGAGATCATGTCTTCCACTCTTAGCCTATTAGTCCCCACCTCCATAATCACTGCCTCTTTCATCTGTGTGAAAAATTTTCTTCTGATTTCAAGGCATTGGGAATGGGGAGGAAGGGAGGAGAAGTGGGTCTTCCTATCTTGCCCAAATTGGAAGTGTAGTGGTCCTTAAGCGCCCAGTCCCAATAATGATTAGCATGGAAGTTTTAACCTGCTATATTTTTCTAACAGGAACTGACTCATTCCCTTTTAGGCAGCCCTGGTGGTTCACCATGTTTGTGTCAGACTTAGGGTGCTCACCAGAGCTATTCTAGCCCTGCTGTAGCTCAGAACTCTGGAACTCAAGAGATTCCATCAGTCTCTTCCTCCACCAGCTGCAGGGATTACAGGCATGAGGGGAATGACATGGTCAGACCTGTGCTTTAGGAAAATTATTTTAGTGGCTGAATGGAAGACTGATTAGAGTGGGGAGAGATCTGAGGCAGGCAAACCCACCAGCAGGGTATTGCAATAGTCCAGACATGAGGTCCATGCCAGAGTGGTATTAGTGTCAGAGGACAGAAGGGAACATATTCCAGAGATGCTATAAAGGTGATATCAACAAGCCTTGGCAATAGATTAGATATGGGTGGTGAGAGATAGTGAGAAGTCCAGTATGACATCTAGGTTGTGATCCTGAAGGATGGGAGGATGGTGTTTCTCTCTGCAGTAACAGAAGGGTAGGAGGGGAAAAAGGATTTGAGAGAAAGCTAATTATTAAATTTTCAGTGTGAGTCTTTAAACCACACAAATCAGCAAATGCTATAAAATCAGGGATTGGTTTATTGTTTTGTTGACTGTCTAGACTTAAGAAAGTGATAGAGAATACGTTAATTAATGCAGATAAACTTAAAAGTGTGTCATACATACATCACCACCCCCACCACCCCCAGCCAGCTGTTAAACATTTACCAGCACACCCAAACGTACAGCAAAGGTAATGAAGATGTTGATACTTTCCCAACTAATATCTAGACATTACATTTGTGCCAATCAAAGTCCCAGTAAAATGTTTCATAGAATTGGACAAAAACATATCAAAATTTATATGAAGAATTATTTGACAAGTAAGAATATAAAGAATTATGAAGGAAAAAAACAGTTAAGAATTTGTCCTACCAGTTGTACTATGAAAATAACAGTAAAAACTGTCTGGTGCTGGAGAAAGGATATATAGATTAATGGAACAGAACACAAACCATAAAAATAGAACCGAATACATATCAGAAGTTCTGCTAGGTGGCTCAATGGATAGAGGTGGCTCAATGGATAGAGCACTGGCCTTGGAATCAGGAAGACTCATCTTCCTGTGTTCAAATCAGGCCTCAGACACTTACTGGCTGTGTGACGCTGGGCAAGTCACTTAACCCTGTTTGCCTCAGTTTCCTCATCTGTAAAATGAATTGGGAGAAGGAAATGGCAAGTATTTGCAATATCTTTGCCAAGAAAACCCTAAATGGGATCACGAAGAGTCAGACACGACAGAAAAACAACTGAACAACAACAATATATCAGAACTAGATATCAGATAAAAATCATTCTTTTTAAATCATGGGGGAGTAAAGATAATAAAAAAGGGGGGTGGACAGAAATACACTATTTGTGGAACTTCGAATTGGCCTAATCATACCAAGTATTAATTTGGAACTAAGCAAGAAATTAATTAAACTGTTTATATTCTTTGACTCAGCTAAATATACTAAGGAGATCAAAGAGAAAAATAAATACCAAATATATATATACCAAAACATTCATAGCAGCACTCTGTGGCAGCAAAGAAATGCACAGAAAATGGGTGCCTATCAATTGAGGAATGACTGAAAAAAAAAAAGGTGGTATATTTATATATTATAATATTACAGTGCAATAAGAGAACACAAATATGAAAAATTCAGAGAAATGTGAGAAGATAGGTACAAGAACTAGTGTCCCATAGTGGATAGGGCACTAGACTTGGAGTCAGAAGATCTAAATTTGATGTATTATCCTGGGTGTCACTTAATCTCCTTGGAACTCTATTCTCATTTAGAAAATAAGAGGGTTGGATTTAATATCCATTAAGGTCACTAAAAATGGCAAAATTAGCAAAAAATGATAAAATTCAATGTCTGCAGAACTGAAAGGCAACAGGCATTATATAGAGGAGATGGTTAGCTGGTATTAACATCCTGGAGAATAACATGGCAACATACAATATGTCACATATCTTCTGACCCACTGATTCCTTTATTGAACTTTATTTCTAAAATACAATATTTTAGAGAAATAGGGACCTAGTTTTATAAAAATATTCAAAGCTAATTTATTTGGAATACTTTAAAATGTGAAGGGTGTTTTACATAAAGAAAAGTAAAAAATTGGAATTAGCCAACACATCTAAAAACTGGAAGATGGTTAAATAAGTTCTGGTATATCAATATTACATAATATTAGTGGCATATTGTTAACGTTACATTAATGTTACTGTTACATAACATAAGAAACAGAAATGTAAAATAGGAAGAACTTGTATGAGGTGCTAAAAAAGAAGAAATATAGGACTAGAATAATATATTCACTGACAACTATATTAAACAAACAAAAATGTAGAAGTAGTAATAGTAGTTACCTTTTGTGTAGCACTGACAATATGCCAGGCACTGTACTAAACATTTTACAACTATAATCTCATTTGATCATTACAACAAGGACTTTAGGTTGATTTGAAAGGGGCCGAAGAGAAAAAATATCGTTTGTTTGTTGTTCTTTATTATATGCTAGAAGTTTTATGTAAGACCTCTATTCTCATTTTGCATGTTTGTCATTAATTATAACATCTCTAATCAATGAAGAATCCACAAATATCACTGAGATCCAAAAAAAGTCAAAAGATCTAAAGGAAGATTCCTAAAGTCTAGAGGCTAAACTTCCAGATTATTTATAGGAGGATATGAATAGGAGGAGAAGGCATAAGTGGATTCCAATCTTTATCAGAGGAAGGAGTATACAAAGCAATGAAATCGTAAGTTGACTAAATACTAAAAAAAAAAAAGTAAAATGTTTAGAATTGCTCCAAGAGACTCTATTTTATAAGGCTATATTTTAAAATGCCCCTCACCATAATGTTCAAAAGTATTTAAAGAAAGTTAGGAAACTACACCTGCTTAAGTAATTCAACATTTATTGAGCACCTACTATGTACAACGTCCCCTAGTAGATGTTTTATAATGAATTTTTGTTCTACCAGAGGAAAATGTTAACACCTGGTTATTCAGAAATCTAAAATAAGAAAAAAAGGTAAAATGGTAAAAGCATTAAAGCTATAAAAGATTAATAATGGTTAAAATATTGATATTAAAACCCAAACATATGGCATATGGCCTTTACTAAAAAATAACCAACATTAAATGTCACTACAAACAATTTCAAGAAAGTACAGGGGATGGCTGCTAATGCCCCAACTCACCTGTCACAGCTCAGAGTAGCAATATATTGACCCAAGGGATCCCAGGTAACTCCTTGTACGTAACTCTTGTGCTCATTAAAGATGGAAACTTTTTGTCCTAGAAAAGCACACAAAATAATATAGAACCTCTACTCAAGTTTAAATGACATAAACTACTAAGTAATTTTTCACTTTGCAGTGTTCATTTAGAAACTAACCGTGTTCCTCTGGCGGTGATATTTGTTATATTGTTACTGAGCTGTCATTTATGTCTTGTATTATTTAATTTCTTGTGTTTATATTTTTTTCTCCAATTAGAACACAAGATTTTTGAGGGCAAGGACCATGCCTTGCTTATTTATTCATTCATTCATTCATTCATTTCTTTCTTTATTTATTTCTTTATTTAATTATTTGTTTATCTATTTATTTATTTTTGCTTTTTTGGTGAGGCAATTAGGGTTAAGTGACTTGCCCATGGTTACATAGCTAGTAAGTGTCCCATGTCTGAGCACGGATTTGAACTCAGGTCTTCCTGACTCCAAGGCTGGAGCCCTATCCACTGTGCCACCTAGCTGCCCCCCCCAAATATCTTTAGACAAAATTATATTTATACATAGAATTCAGATGCCATATAAACTCACATATTATTGAATACTATTCTGTTGCCTTTGCTACATCAGGAATGTAAGTGTGTGTGTGTGTGTGTGTGTGTGTGTGTGTGTGTGTGTGTATAAGTAAAAACACTCTATATCTCAAATTTGTAAATTTTGGTTCATTTACATGTAACAAATGTGTGGAATAGCTAGCATGGATTTTTTTCTCCATTTTCCTCTTTCCCATACACACACATAAGCACAAGGTATTATCTGGAACTGGGCGTGGGCAGTCTCTTTCTCTGGGCTGGTTCACTCATCCCAACTTGTCTTCATATTAGCAAGTCTGGGTTCCCAGAGAAAGACTACTCCCATGTGACTATGCCTCAAACTCAGGGTCTTATGGATAACTCTGGTATGGGGGATATAGTTCCTCTACCTATCACTGTACATCTTGAACCTACATCAGTACTTTTCCCATTTTCATAAAACAAATCACAATAATGACATCATTAAATCCTAAACATAAAACATATATCATGATTATTTTATAAAGCAATGTGGAAATAATAATTCATCACAGTTAACTCATAAACTTGGGTCACATTCTCCTAACAATGAGTACAGTATGGAGGACAGTGGGCACATATTCATAGAAACTATTCAGGAGACATATAGATGAGGACATTACAGGTTCCTGGGGCAGCAGAGAATTCTCCTTCAGGCCTTGATGTCCTTGGTCCCTTTATGAATAATCTGTATCACAAGAAGCTGTTTCTCTGCTAATTGCACCCCTTCTGGTCCTCACTGCTCTTGCTGGGTAAATCTGTTCTCCTCGGGAACTGATGAAGTAGTGACAAGGTCTTTTAGCGGGCAGTTACACTATCATGATAACAAACCATCCCTTTAAGCTAGTGAACTGCCAAGCTCTTCATTTGGGCTTTCTGAGTAATGCAGACAAGACCTCTCAGCTCTTCACTCAACAAGATGTGGGTTTGTCCAATCAGCTTCAACCTAGGTTTATAGCAAAGCAACTGTAATACCTGACTTCGTCCCTTATTTTCTTTCCAGCCAGAGGGGAGCAGCAGAAATCAACCAGAAGCTTCTGAGAAATTTCACCTCTCAATATGTGGATAGGGCAATGGCTGAAATTGCAGCAGAGTTCAGCTCTCTTCCAATTCGAAGGCGCCTAGCCTTCAGCCAGTCCCCAAAATGAAACTTAGCTTCAAGTGAAGAGCTCCCAAGTACAATGGCTGGAGTTTGTTTGTCTGCTACTGGCCTGCTACTTGTCTTCTCACTTAGCTTCCTCTACCTACGTGTCTGTCCCTTCGGCCTGCTGGGCTTTTCAACACTCAGTGGCTCAAGTCTGAGCCTCCCACTGCTCAGTGACACATGTTTCCTTTAAAAGGAAAAACTATTAGTTATGAAGGCAAGCGTCCTTATTTAATCACCTCATGGTCTCCAAAAAGTTGTTTGATTTACCACTTTGGGACTTTAACCTTTCAATCTCTAAAAAAAGTTATGTGCAAATGAATGAGTTACGATGCCTTCAGTCAGTTCTCTATCCTCAAACAGATACTTTTCTGTTGGTCCTCCCAGCACTCCTTTTAATGGAAAAACTTTCTTCGCACTAGAATTTTATCAGTTTTCCATAAACAAATGTTCCTTTTCTGGATATTTGAAGGAACATTAAAATGTATGCTGAAGTATCCTAATATAAAAAGAGTTAAGGCAAAGGAGACTGTGAGTGAGGCAATGAACTAATTCAGAAAGGAAGATGTCCTGGAGGTCACTAGATAACAGCCATCAATAGCTGGATTGGGCAATAAATTTGTATACAGTGAGTCTCAAAAGAGGAAAAGGAGCTGAATACAGGTGGTAGAGGGAAAGTCTGATGGCAGTAAGAAGGCTTCCAAGGCTTCCTCTACCAGGACCAATGAGTTGGGAAGTCTTTAGGTACAACCAGTACTAGAAAGGATGAGCAGAGATGCGGTGTCATCCAAGCAGAGCTAGGTCTCAGTGAATGCCAGAAGATGGGAGAAGTAAGAGAGGAAGAGGTCTAAAATGAAAAGATTTTTGTTAATTATAGATGAGGAGTTCTGGGGGGCACCCTGGAAGGCAGGTCTGGAGTGGGACACAGGGTTAAGATGGATGAAAGGGAGTAGACAGCTAGAGTTGGTAGGGGGGTACGTTATTCAGCAGTTGGTTGTTAAGTATCACTAAGATAAGGAAATTAAGAAAGGGTAGGAGCATCCTAACTTTGGGGGAATGTATCCAGAGAAAATATCAATGGATGGGAAGAGGTCTACCGATAAAAGCAGATGATGAAAAGGTTGAAGGGTCTCCAGTAAGCAGCTACCCAGTGATGCCCCTGGCATGGAATACTCATAGAACCTGTACCAACCATCAGAAAGATCAACTTTCCTGAAAGGAGGTTGACCACTGCTACTTCTCAGAGAAATATGGTACTAGTATGACTAGAGAGAGATGGATGAAGTCACCAACAGTAGCAAAGAGAACAAAAAGTGGTGTGTGAAGGTTAGTTTTATTTTATTTTATTTTTGTAGGCTAGGCAATGGGGTTAAGTGACTTGCCCAGGGTCACACAGCTAGTAAGTGTCAAATGTCTGAGGCCAGATGTGAACTCAGGTCCTCCTGACTCTAAGGCCACTGCTGTATTCACTGTGCCACCCAGCTGCCCCATGAAGGTTAGTTTTAAGAGGTATATTTGAGCTCTCTGTTCTACATAACCAAAGAAAAACTCAAGACGAGGCAAACTTGAGCTTAGTGTGGAATCAGTGTTTCTTACATTGTTGTGCTTCTCGAGATCTTGACATTACTGCAAAGGCCTATGATATATCAGACACCCTGGACCATTACAAACCGTCTTTCCCAAAAGGAATTTTGCTTCTGCTCAACTTCCTATAATTAGATCCTGTTAATAGGCTACTTGTTACCAGAATGTTTCAGCTGCCCCTAATCACTATGAACTCTTCTTCTGTCTTCCAACTCTATAATACCCCAATTTATCTTCTCTCTTCCCAACCTGGTTCAAAAGACTATAAACTGCACATATTTTGTCCAGTTCAACAAAACATTTGGTTATGGCATCCATTAGCGTGTCTCTAGCCTGTTTTTCTTTTCCTTAAAGCTATGAGAAATGAAGAATACCTCAGCCAAAGAAGAACAATGCAGAGTATCGAATCAATTCTTCAACATCACTAAGTCAAATTCACACAAGTCAAGAGATTTTGTGTAAAGAAATTCCTGATTGACTTTTCTAGTTGCTTTTGCTATGAGACTCTTCTGATCTCATGATGTAAGGGAAGAAGACCCGTTCCTCAAATGTTTCGTATTTGATATCCAAGAATTCTCTTCAACACTGACTATTACTTGGGGTTCTTGGCAATCTCACCAAACACTCTAGGGTCCAAACAATGAGGCCAAACTACTACCTACTGCCAAGCTCAATTTCCAGCTTCAGGTAGTAAAATTTCTTAGCTCTACCAGTGGAAAGTTAACCACCTGAGTAAATCTACTGAAGGTTTTTTTGTTTTTCTTTTGTTTAGTGCTTTTAATTTCCTTGTAGTATGGACTTTACGTAGTTATTTGGTATTCCCCATTTCCCAAAGATAAAAACGCCAAAAGAAATGATCAGTTACCTCTACCAACATCCCATACGATAGCTGTGTTATCTACAGAGGCAGAAGCCATTAAATTTCCATCAGTCATCCAGCAAATATCATACACATCTTCTAAGTGTCCTCTGGAATACAAAGTAGAGATAGAAATATATTAGATATTACTTTAGCAGCATGTTTTTTTAAAATGCAAATTGTTTTAAAACAGTTATTTTGCTTTTAAAATATATTAGAACAAGATTTCTTTAAATAAAATTCTACTGGATTAGAGACCATATAGCTACAGTCAGTTACATTAAAGGAAATTGTAACTTTAAAAAAGCAAGCAAATTTAATTCAATTTTGTATTAGAATATTTAAATTTTTTCAAAAATTTTTCCTTCATGATCTAAGCAAATGTTTAAAGCAAATTTAAATTTACCAAAATATGTATTAAGTCGAAATAGAAATGTGAAAAAGATATCTGTTACATATAGTAAGTTACCTTAATGTTTTAATGACAGCCCAATTCTCCTTATTCAGTTGTGCCTCATCCTCATCCTGAAATGCAATTTGTTCTGGCTCCTTGTTATCATTAACCTTCCACAACAAAATGGCAGCATCTATGGGGTATTAAACCTGATTACAGACCATATTTTATTGACTATTTCCAAAAAACATTACTATTTCCTGAAATGATTTGTGATTACATCACCATGGAGAACTCCCAGAATGTGAATGCCCTTTACAAAACAAGCAGAATCTTAGACTCAGTAAAACTCCTGGAAAATTGCCACAGACCCACATAGGTTAAGGGACTCAGCTTAGATCATGTCAGAGGTAAGATTTGAACTTAAGTATCTCTGATTTCCAACCCCAGCACTCTAGGCACCGCAGTTATTCAACATGCACATTATTATTACAACTTATTTTGAAAACAGCCTTTAGAAACTTCAGTGGAAATGAAAGATAAAAATACTTTCAATTTTCCTTCAAACTCTTCATCCCTATTAAGCACACACAGAAAATACAAATCAGTCTATTTGTTATCAAGAGGAATTCTAAATAGAAAAAGGTCAACTCAAGGGATAAGGATATTAAACTATTTCTACCTTGCCAAGACAAGGAGTTTAATTCTTATTATAAAACTATGTATTCACCACTTTCTCACTGTTTAGAATGGATATCTATAGATTTCAAAAGAATAAGACGCAGAATCAATATTTATTTCCCCTTCCAAGATCAGGAGAAAGGAGCCACAACAAAATACATCTGATCCTTTCAGCTATCAATTTCAGCCTTTTGATGGCCCAGAAAAAGACAAGCACATGACTGATTTGAAGGTTCAAAATGGGCTTAAAACCTCACCATCAGCTTTTATTGACTCTTCTCTCACCTTCAAATGCATACATACAATTAGTTGCCAAGTCCCATCACTTTTACTTATACCATAACTCTCATACCTACTATCACATAAACTCAACCTCATAACAGCCACACTAGTTCTCACCTAAATTACTGTAATAACCTCCTAACTTATGTTCCTGCTTTCAGTCTCACCTATCTTCTATCTAGTTTTCATAACATTTCTTAGGCCATTTTAACGTAATTTAAATTTTTTAAAATCATGTTATTGTCCTGCCCAGAAAACTTGCAGTGGCTCTCTACTGACTATACGAATTCTCTGCTAGGATATTTAATGCTGTCTACAATCTGGAGCCAATCAGCCTTTCCAGTCTTATTCCAGAATACTCCATTTTGTGTTCTTTAAATTCCAGCCATGCTTTCCCCTAACCTTATGTGTTGTCTACCTCTATAAGACTGTGAGCTCCTTGAAGGCAGGGACCATCATTTAACTTTTCACTTGTATCCTCAGTGTTTAGCATAGTACCTGGCACACAGCAGGCACGTAATATAAATGTTTACTGACTGGCTGTCTACTTCCAAGAACTCACAAAGACCAGATCCATGCCTCTTTTTTGCTTTTAAGACCTAGATCAGATGTCATCTTCTTCATGATCCTCCCAAATGAAAGTGATGTCCCCTTTGTGCCTACTACATTCTACTTTGTATCAAAAGATCAGACAGTTTAAAGTTCTAAGGAACCAAGAGGCCTTTAGTACATATTGTCTTCTCTCATTAGACTGTAACTTTCTTCAAGAAAAGTACTATGTCATTTTTCATTTTTGTTATTGCCATCATCTACTACAAGGTCATAAGCACCTATTAGATAGGTCATATTTGCTAAATGGAACTGCTGAATTTAAAAAGCTATTTCCCAAGCCAAAAGTTCACCATTTCATCATTTTACTTATACACTTATACATTAAATGTAACAGTACTCACCATCTCCCCCAGATGCTAAGATTTCACCATTAGGAGAAAACCGAACAACATTTACTGCTTTGGTATGGCGAGCAAGATTGGACAAAAATTCTACAATGGCTTTTCCATCTGGTCCTTTTTCTACTTTCCAGATCTGTTTACAAAAAAAAGATCATTAATACAAACAATGTCAGAAACAAGTAACCATCAGAAACAAAAAAATTTCCCTTTTAAAATGCAAAATAAAGGCCCCTCTGAAATAAGAAAAGCTTTTATTGTATAAGGTGTGATAAGAAAAAAAAAGATAGTTTAGAGCATATGTTCCATGGGTATCCATGCAATGTCAAAAGAATGAGAATTCCCTCAGTATCCACCCCAGGTAGAGTTTTTCTGTTAAATTTAGGGAAAAATATGGATTGGATAAGACAGAGATCTGCACAACTTAGAGGTAGACATTATTGATCCATTAGATTATTTATGGTTAAAAAAGCACTTTCAGAAATGTTATATCCCTTGATCCTCAAAACACTACTGTGAGCTAGTCAGCATCATTGGCCTCATAAGGAAACTGGGGTTCAGCATAAGTGACAGACAGAGCCAGGGAATCAAACTAGAGTCTAATTCTAACTAGTTACATCATCATCATCATAATTGGCAGTGTGAGGCAGTAAAGAAGATTTGGCCTCAGAGACAGGAAGTCCTGTGTTCAAGTCCCACCTGTGATATATGATATCTGTGTGGCCCTGGGCAAGTATTCACCTCTCAGTGCTCCAAGGTCTCTAGGACTAAGTTGGTGCGCAGGTGGATGATTGGAGGGAAGGAGTCCCTACAATTAATAAAATCACAGGCCCACACCAAAAAAGTAAAATGGTTAGCATCATTTCACTTGATCCTCACAAACTCATGAGACAGATCTCACAGTTCATATTAACCCTATTATAAAGATGAAGTCGTGAAAAGGGAGTAAGTATACGTATAGCACCTACGTATAGCAGTGCCAGGCACTGTCCAAAGCTTTTTTTAAATCTGATTTGATGAGATGAGGAAACTAAGCCTCAGAGAGGTCAAATGAATTGTCCATAGCCACACACAATCACACACACACACACACACACACACAGTCAGAGACATGATTTGAAGTCAGGTCTTTCTGATTTCAAGTCCAACACTCTATCTGCTTTATCACACTTTAACTATTTACTTTCTCCCTAAAACAACTTAGTCCCCTAATGAACAAACTGAAATATGACTGAAAACTTTAAAATAACCTGTACCAAGTTAACTACTGCTAGACTGCAACTGAAAAAAAATGCAACCTTGTTTTTCTTTCAAATTCTGTGGGTCGGTCCATTTTGAGCCATATAAATATATAGATTGGAAAAGACTTTATGGATCATCTAGTAAGACCCTTTCATTTTACAGAGGAATCTGGGACCAGAACTCAGGATCTCCTGACTTCCCAGTCAAGGCTCTTTCCATAGATCAAGAAGGGCTCCCTAATCTGAGACTCCTACATCATTTTTTTTTGGCCATCATCAGATTTAAGATTCCAGCTAAAAGTGGAGTCTATAATTTGCCCTTTTCTTTTTTATTTTTTTCTGCAAGTGTTGAACTTACCCGCACAGCTGTGTCTACTCCCGAAGAAGCCAATCTATGAATTTTCCCATCGGGCCCATGCTGGAAGTCCAGGCTGTACACCGGTTCTTTGTTGTGCCACGCTATTTCACAAGTGATGACCTTCATTCTCTTAGACCCTCAGGTTCTGGGCAGCGGGTTCTGCTTATAATGACAGAGACCCCCGAGGGGCATCGTCACCTGCACAGGTTTTAAGACAAGGCACGCCCAGGTACACTGTCATCCCGGCCCAGAGAGGGGACGGGGCCCCTGACAATGCCGGGGCTTTCACTCTAATGCCCCCAGCACAGGGCCACGAGACGCACGGTCCGGACGGACCCCCTCGGCCCTCTCCTCCTCCCGCCCCCCACCCGCGGGGCCGGAGGGGGCGGAGACCGGAAGAGGAGAAGGGGCAGGGGGCCCATCCCAGGGAGCTGAGCCGCGAGTCTGCAGAGGAAGAGAGGAGGAAACTAAGGGAAGACCGCCGCTTCTCCCGGGGAATCTGCAGTCGGGAGGAGGGAGTCTCGCTGATTCCGCAAGCAAACCGCAACCCCGGCTCTCCCCCGAGGGGTTCCTGGCCAGGTGCAGCCAGTCGGCCTTTGCGCCTTGCGGGGCGGGAGTACCCTCCTCCCGCCAACTCCCCCATGCAGTCCTCCCAGGTTGGGAGAAGCGGAACCCAAATCCACCCATCCCCGAACCCACCACCCGCCCGCAGCGCTGCATACATTTCACACCGCTCTTCTCCGCTCTCCGGGTCTCAGCCCTGCCTGGAGCGGAGCTGGGAAGGCAGAGAAAGGACGGTGCGGCGGACCCAGGACGGGAAGCTCCTTCACTGCAGCCGCCGCCGCCGCCGGGTTTCCCGCGCTCGCGCCGGTGGCCCCGCCCCCTCGCGCTGCGAGTGGCGGGAGTGGAGGGGCGTGTTCTACGAAAGGGGCGGGGTCTTGGGCGGGGCGGGCCTCGCACCACCCACCTCCCTCTGACCCGGCTTGAGCCGCGTGGTCCGGAGCCGCCGCCGCGGTCCTCCTACCCCCTTGGGCTGCTTCCTAAAGTCATCTGTCCGAAATTGATGAAAATTTAAGCTCTGTTAGATGAACAGTGCAGATACTGGCGTTTGGGACCTTAGGAGATTGAAACCCAGACTGCTTTGTCCGGTGTCGTCACGGTGCAAATTAATGTGGTCCTTGGAAAAGAGCATGGAGGCTGTGGCTCCTGGGAAGCCAGCTTCTCATCCGTGAAAAAGCGCTTCCAGCTGTGAACCTGCTCCTGCCCTCCCGGTCACAAGGCAGAGCACCTAACCGCACGTCTGGAGGCTTTTTCTCCTGTTCTTCACTCCACCCGCTCTCCCCCATAGGAGAAAGCACAAATGGCGGGAAGGACGAAAAAAGGTAAGCCTTCCTTGGGGAGAAGACGATGGAGCTGGGCTTTAAAGGAAGTGAAATAGGCGGGGGTGAAGAGCCTTCCAGGCATGTGCTAGCCGCCGGGGAGGGAGGGTATGCTCGGGTGGTGGGACGGCTGAGCTGGAACGTGCAGGGGGAGAGGTCCGGAAAGGCAGGACGGCCTGGGTTGAGGGGACTTCCACCTCCCCGTCTGCAGCAGATTTCTGGACAAGGGTTGCACCGTCTGTCCTGGGCTTTAACTGTTCTGACAGCTAGATAGAGGACTGACTGGAAGCAAGAGGACAAATAACTTCTGAAATTGCCCAGGTGAGATCATTTTCACCTATCCTTTTCAAGTCTTACATTTGGCAGATGGGCCTCTCCAAAATGAGTGATTTTGGGGTAACTTGAGTGTCTCCACTAGGGAAAAGAATTCAGGAAAACTCAAGAGACTCTGGTGTCCAAATGGGATTTAGAAAAGCCCACCAAGGCCTCAGGAAGGCTGTAGACGGGAAGTTTTGTGTGCTTACACATTTTTATTCGTGTTGAAGTGGTGGCATGTCAGCTCCAAAGATGGATTCTCAGCTTTCTCCTTTTGACTTTGTTACAGATCCTCGTTGGTGGGAGTCGGGGGTGGGAGGACTTGAGGGGTGGAGGGTAGAGCCAGGGGAAGCAAGGATGAGGCAGGAAGGAGGGAAAGAGGAAGTTGCTGGACAAGCAAGGTATCATCTGTTAACTCGGATTCTAGATTTACACTTTGAGATTTCTAAGCATTGTGATGATTAGCCTTTCCCCAAAAGGTTTAGTTAAAAAGGTGTGAATTCAAGATGCTATATAACAATTTTAATCCAAATAGACAGTAATCAGTCATTCTATGAATTTATCACTGGGGAGACCTCAGCTGTTTTTGAAAGGAAAAATAGAAGAGACAGAGGCTATTAGAACTAAACAAATCTCAGCCTTTGACAGGATGGAAACTTTGGTTTTGATTTCTTGGGTCACACAGCTACTAAGTGTTATGAGTCTGAGGTCACATATGAACTCAGGTGCTCCTGAATCCAAGGCCGGTGCTCCATCCACTGCGCCACCTAGCTGCCCCCTGGTTTGGATGTCTTAAGAAAACTCACCTCTGCCCAGATGGTCATGAGTTAAAGCAAAGAACAAAGATGCCAGTTTTTGTTCATGGCTTAAATTTCTGACAACTCAGTTCTCCTGTGCAGTTCTGTCTTTAAATCCTACGGCATACAGTAGGAGCATTAAACAGGTCCTTTTGTTCAATACTGGAGCAGTCATTTCTCTCTTCTCCAACTCCTTCCCTCATATTAAGAACATCAACATACTAACACTCCTTCAAACACCCCAACCTCCCAGTTCTTTAACTTAGTCGTTTCCTGTGGCATACCCCTCCAATCAAATTCAGCTATACACGTAGTCATTTTGTTGTTGTTCAGTATTTCAATTGTGTCCAACTTTCCGTGACCCCATTTGGGTGTTTTCTTGACAAAGATACAGCAGTAGTTTGCTATTTCCTTCTCTAGCTCATTTTACAGATGAGGAAACAGGCAAACAGGGTTCAGTGTCACACAGCTAGTAAGTGTCTGAGGCCAGATTTGACCTGAAGAAGATGGGCTTCCTGACTAGGGCCAGCACTCTATCTACTATGGCAAGTAGTTGTCCACAGGCATACCCTCAACCCAAATCTAATAGCCTTTTCTCAGTCTTCATCCTTCTTAACCATATTGGAGCCCCTGACAAGCAGTATGTCTTCTGTCTAGGTTTTAGTGACACTGCTCTTGGTTTTCCTACCTCTCTGACCATTCCTCTCAGTCTTTTCCTGGATCTTCATCTGCTAACCCTAAGAGTCCCCCAACACTCTTTCTTGGGCCCTCCTCTCTCCATATTCTATTTCTTTTTATGTAATTTTTTTTTCTGTCACCAAAAATCCACCTCTCCATCCTAGATATTCCCAAATGAGAAATAACAAAATCCTCACTACAGACTTGTGTGGTCAAGGAAAACAAATTTCCTAATTGGCTATCTATCCCTCCCCCCCTCCAAAAAACAAAGTCTCATTCTACATTCCTCTCTATCAAGAAATGGATAGCATGTTTCATCTTAAGTCCTCTAGAATCATGGTTGATCATTACACTGATCAGAGTTCCTAAATCTTTCAAAGTTACTTCTTTATTATACTGTCATTGTTTTCCTGGCTTTGTTCACTCTGCATCAGTTCATACAACTCTTCCCCAGTTTCTCTGAAACGATCTCCATCATTTCTCACAGCACAATAGTATTCTACCACATACCATAACTTGTTCAAGTATTCTCCATTTGATAGGGAGCCCTTCAGTTTCCAATTCTGTGCCACAACAAATAGTTATAAATATTTTTGTACAACCTTAAGAGTTTATTTAACTTAGAATTACTCGTTCCTCTAATCTACTTTTCCTCTTATTCACTTTTCTGTTTCTGTTTAATGAAATGTATTTCTGTGTCTTAACTCTGTGTGTATGTGTATATGTAAATGTTCTTCTCTCCTTTGACCAATTCAAAAAGGTAGTATTATAATTAAATATTTAAATCTGTCACTAGCCTCTTATGCTTACTGCATAGGTTCTCATTCCCTTCACTGGCTTTTAAAAAAATTATATTTTTGAATTCTGAGTTTCAAATTCTGTCCTTCCTTCCAATCCCTTCCCTACCTATCAAGAAAATAAGCAATATGATATCAATTATACAAGACTTTCACTCATTTTTTTAAAAATATGTTATTTTATGGTATACTTGTATTCAAATGAAATCTTTTTAAATTGTGACTATGAAATTCTTTTCAAGATATTGAAAAATGAAATTACATGTTTGAGTGATGGTATTTTCAAGTCTTAGCATTTACTATCATTCTCTATCACAGTTTTTTTTGTTTAAAAGCCTTAGTGTTTTCTCTTAGAGAAAGTGTCTCCCTTTCTTATTAATGCATCTTAACAGGTAAATTTGTTTTAGAAGTGAGAAAGTGAACTTTTGTGTCTCCTATTGCTTTCATTTAATTTTAGAACATTTTTATCCTATTGCTTTTATTTATTTGTTTGTTTGTTTTTAGGCAGTTGGGGTTAAGTGACTTGCCCAGGGTCACACAGCTAGTAAGTGTCAAGTGATTGGTCTGAGGCCAGATTTGAACCCAGGTTCTCCTGATTTCAGGGCCAGTACTTTATCCACTGCGCCACCTAGCTGCCCCTATCCTATTGCTTTTAAAGAAAATCAGACTATGTAAATAAACTTTGAATCTGCCATTTGTACATGGTCAAAGAATAGTTCTGCAAATATGGAATATTTTTGTGAAATATATAATAACATAACCTTTAAGGCCTATATAAATACTAACTCTTATTTTTATTACAACTAGTCCCCTTAATTATTCATATTCTTTGGCATATTAGTTACTAAAGCATTCAATAGTCATTATTTATAGGTAGTAGTTCAGAAAATCACTTAAATATAAAAAAGCATAATATTGGTATAGTAAGGTTGAGTCTGTCTTGGAATATTGGACATGGAAAGGTTCAGTTGAAAACTGATTGCAGAAATAGGGGTGTTTAGCTTGAAGAGGAGACTTGTGGTGGTTATAACAGTCTTTAAATTTTGGAAAGACTGTCATATGGAATATGACTTGTTCTACTTGACATGAGGCAAAACTAGGGAGCAATCAGGGGAAATTGCAAAGAGGTAGATATGAATTTTATTTGAAAGGAAAATTTAGAACAATTAGAGCTATCTAAATGTGGAATGGGCTGTTTCATGAGGTAATACAGTCTCCTTCCCTAGAGATCTTTAAGCAAAGGTTGAAAAATCTGGTAGACTGTTGAAAGGATTTTTTTGGTTTTGTTTTGTTCTGGCTAGGCAATGGGGTTAAGTGACTTGCCCAGGATCACACAGTTAATAAGTGTTATGTGTCTGAGGCTGGATTTGAACTCAGGTCCTCCTGAATCCAGGGCCAGTGTGCTATCCACTGTGCCAGTTAGCTGCCCCTGTTGAAAGGATTCTTATTCAGACACATGTTGGACTGAATGGCTTTTGACATCTCTTCTGTCTCTGAGATTCTGAAAAGCTTTGTATTTGGACCCATGGATTGGGTTGAAGTTTAAAAGGATTATTCAGAAGGTGATTATTAGATAAGGGAAAAACTGAGATTAGGCTGTTTCCCGAGGTGCTTCTGCCAGGGAGACAGAATGTCTAATAATTGTTGATAGGAATAGATTATCAAGTGGCTACACCCTCCAGATAAACAGAGGCCTGAGAAAGACCTTACTTTAGAAAGGTCAAGATCATCCACTGCAGTCTGGGCTATCACCAGTTATCTTGATTTTTGTCTTGCCCCTGGACTCCCATGACTCTAGAGTGAGACTTAACACCTCTGCCTCACTTAAATCCAGTTCCGTGCTCTTTGAAAGCAAAGGACAAATAACAATTGCGTTTGGATAAGCTTCTATTTTCACACCTTCCTCTCCCTTACTCTGTGCAGTGTATTCCTCTTCCCCTTCCTTTTGATGTTTCTTTTAAGATCATCAAAACATAATGGAACTACTGCCAGTCTTCTAACTATATTCCCTCTCTGAGCCCCTAGATGACAGAGTCCAGAGGGAACACATGTATCTTCTTCTCTTATTAGAATGTACACAGTTTATCATCCTTGTTCAGTCCTTTGTCATTGTTCATTTGTTTACCTTTGTTTCTCTTGTCCCCTGTTTGCACTGCAAAATATCTTTGCAGCTCTGGTATTTTCATTAGAAATGCTTTAAAGTCCTCTATTTCATGAAAGGTCTATTTTTTTTTTTTACCCCATAGAGATTATACTGAAGTTTTTCTGGGTAATTTATTCTTGGCTATATATCCATATTCTTTCATATTCCAAGAACTCTGCATTTTATGGAGATGACTGTTAAATCCAGCGAATCCTGATTGTGGCTCCTCAGTATTTGAAATCTTTCTTTCTGGCTGCTAGTGGTAATTTTTTTCTTTCACCTGGAAGCTCCAGATTTTTACTATAATGGTTCTGGGAGTTGTCAATATGAGTGTTTTTTTTTTTCAGGAGGTGACTGGTTAATTCTGTCCACTTTTGCTCTCTGGTTTGAAGAGATCTAGGAAGTTTTCTTTTAAGATTTCTTGAAATTTGATGTCTAAGTTTATTTTTTTTAGGGATGGGATGGAGGGGTACAGCATTCAGGTAGTCAAGGATTCTTAAAATTTTCTCTCTTCAATCTGTTTTCCAGGGTTTTTTTTTGTTTTTGGTTTTGGTTTTTGCTGTAAAAAATTTTTCTCCATCTTTCTTTCAATAATTTCACTTGATTCTCTTATTTTATTTGGTCCATTTTCAGGGAGTTTGTGACTTTGGGTAGGTTTTCTATATCTTGTGCCATGCTATTAATTCCCTTTCCATTTCTTTCATAGTTCTCATTCCTTTCTCAATTTTTTTTCCCTGTAGTGTTCTTAGAACTAAACAAACAAAGAAAAAAACAAAGAACTCATGCTTCATCTCTTCATTGAATTCTAGGTGAATTTGTGCCCAGGCTATGTTTTTGAGTCTTAGCTTGTCACTGGAGTCACTCTCTCTCTCTCTCTTTTTTTTTATCATGGCTTTCAGGCAGTCCAATAATTTTAAAATTATCTCTCCTGGATCTATTTTCCAGGTCAGTTTTTCCAATGAGATATTTCACATTTTCTAATTTTTTTTCATTCATTTGGTTTTGTTTTATAATTTCTTGATTTCTCAGTCATTAGCTTACATTTGCTCAATTCTGATTTTTAAGGAATTATTTTCTTCAGTGAGTTTTTGTACCTCCTTTTCCATCTGATTGATTCTATTTTTTAAGGCATTCTTCTCCTTATTGGTTTTTTGGACCTCTTTTGCCATGTGGTCTAGTCTATTTTTTTAAGGTGTTATTTTCTTCAGTATTTTTGGGG